AGCTTTGATGGAAAAAGCCATGTGACTCCCTCGTTAGCTTTCCGTTTAATGTTAATGTTGTTTTATGTTATTCTCCGACTACAGACGTTAGGTTTGTCTATTTAATATTACTACTAGCAAGAAAAATCTGATTCATGTCAGCGTTTTGGAATCATAAATCAGTTATATTCGATTCAACGTTACTCGGCGCTCTTGTGCTTGTATTTTCTCCTTTATCTGATAGATATGTGCCGTGAGCAATATATGACAACCACACTGTTTACGTATTACACCGCTCATCATAAAGAAATCAACCATTCTCTCAAGGTGAACTATGGACATCAGCTCGTAGGTAGTGCGTTAATCAGAATAATCCAAGATGAAAAAACACGGTTTATTGATTGCAGTGTTGGCCAATTGTTTTTAATAGTTTAGAATGTCCCAGTTGCCATCTTTAGTCTGTTTGAGGATCCAAAACTGTTCTTGAATTATAAACACAGCACTTTGAACATGGTTTTTTAGTACGTGAATGGTGCATGTGAAGTGAGCTGTTCAGAAAACTGTTCATGGAATCCACACAGTAAATACCCTAAAAGGATTTGTGCTCTTGGCTCTTGGAGTTTAATTTATAAGAAAAGCCCTAAATTTATTTCTTCTTATTTGTATTGCTTTGAACTGACAATGAACATCTAGGGCTTTTCGTATAAATTCTATAACTTTGCAAAGAAAGATCATGTAGAGCTGGGAGATGTCTCACTTTAATCAGAAATTTGCGGACTGCAACCAGGTCTTACTATGAAAATGTTTTGATCATTTTTTAGAGGTTCTAAAAAACTGGTTTTTCAGAAAACCGGATCTCCCGGAGCCAAGAGCACGAATCCTTTTAGGGTATTTACTACCTCACTGAGGTCTATCGATTCATGTACAAATCATTGGAATCGGAAGGGAACACTTGGGACGGTTCCCTCGTTGGTGTCATTCAAGGGATAATATGTTTCTCTATTTGCTTTTGAATAAACCATTCGCTCAATATAAACTAATGAGATCAGCACAAAAGAAAATAGAGAAAAATAGATATGGATGAATAAAAGAAACAGATATTTAGAAATTGCGCCACTCATCATAAAAAAAATAAACCATTCTCTCAAGATAAAATTAACAGATCAGCTCGTAAGTGGCCTAAAAGTTGTGCATTAATTATAATAATCCAGGACGAAAAAATGATACCTATCTTTTCTTCTCGCACAAAAAAAGAAAAGATTTTGTATATAATTGACGAGAGCCTTGAAACAGAGGTCGCGCATGACTGACTATAAGCATTTTCTATTGTAAAATGTGTTTGTAACACACTAAAATAAAACAACGTATGTTTTGCAATTTTGAACTTGTATGGTGTGATTTGTGATTGAAATAGGCGAAAAATGGATTATGTCACTAGGGTTGTTGTATATAGGTGTACACTTCGAATTACTTATATTTCAGAGATGTCAGGATATCTATACGCAATGTATGTTCAAAAATGACTATTTTCTGAAAACTCGCTGGGCTTTATGTACTGTATCTCCCACTAGCTACTAGGTTTTTGTTTTCTTCGTGTGGACATACAAACATTATTTTTATATGACCTGTACTAAACTTAATGTCAAGTGAATAGAACGTTCGAACATTATCTTATCTGAGTTTACGCTTTACTGTTCACAAGCATCGCCGGATGGTTTATCCATTTGCGCATGTAAATCAACATTTAGTGCTGACGTAAGACTCTGACTGTCAATATGAGCTGTTGTTTCGTGTGGTTGCCTCCTTGTCGATCGTGAATTGTATGAATGCGACATTTAAACTTCTGACTCACTTACACTAAATCACATTAATATTGTACTGCCAATAATCCCAAATGCTTTCCTTCTTCTCCATAGTTCGTTCGAATTTGTTATCGATGTTGTATACTGATAACAACCGGCTAGTGCACCAATGTTAGAGGGTTGACCTTCTTGAATGATGATGACTATATTTCACGTTTATTAAACTAGATTCAATAATCAACATAACTCTTCTACAGAAAAACGCACCATATATATACAGAAAGAAGAAAGACGATCACGCCATATAGTTAACAAAGATGATCAGACCATATAACGAATAAAGGAGATGATCACACCATATAGCTAACAAAGATGATCAGATTATATAATAAATAGAGAAGATGATCAGACAATATAACAGAGAAGATGTCGCGTGTCACTCGCTAACAACCTTAATACGTTTCGAGAAAGTATCACCCTCACTGAACACCACATCGAATTCTGATAGTTTGAGAGTTTCTGTACATAAAACAGGTGCAACATCGACATCACAAAGAGCATCTTCAAAAGAACCATCAAGTTCTAAAACTCCCATGTTTAAATATAGAAAAACTTCAAAAGAAATAGCACCATCACCAACAAATTCCATAAACGAAAATGAAATAAAATCATTAGAAAATAGGGAAAATACCAATAGTGATCCAAAAATCAAAAAGGAGAAACGTGAGGACAATGAATATACAAACGGGATGATAAAATCAAAAAAACAACTAACAAACGCAAAGATCGGGGTCTAATACTTCGATTTCTTTGTTGTACTTTAATGTCAACTTCATCTATACACGATAATAACACCAACAATGAAAATGATCAAAATACAACTAATGTAGTCTCAAAACCAATAACTGTTAAAGAGCCTGTAGGCAAAGAAGAGCAAATAAACGATGCAGACAAAACGGTAAGAAAATCAGTAAAAAAAAACATTAATTTTTTCAATCTATTTGTTTAGGACAACAAAGAACAATTAACTATAGATGAAAATAAGAAAGTATCTAAATGGAAACATGTACGTGAATCTTTATGTCAATTGTCAAAAACTTATCGTGCTGAAAATAGTATGAAAAAGTTTAATAATGAAGATTTATTTAACAATATTAAATAAAAGTTACAAGCCCATTTTCAACTAACGAACAGAAACAACAGTCAATTTCGTCAACATTTCTACAACTATACACATTTCTTACATTTGAATGTAAGTACAGTCGAACAAATGATGAATTAGAACAGTCCACTACTTTTCAAAATATTTTTGTTTACTTTTTCATTTAGCATATGAACATTATAAACTTTTGACAATTCATGCATATCATAATGAAACATCAACGAATGCTCAATCGCAACAAAATTTAGAACATGGTGAACAACATGAAATATTATCAAAAATAAAAGATTGTGATTTTACAGAATTATTAAATTATTTTGAACATCCTGATTTTCATTGGTCAGATTTACGTGCATGTCAATGTGATGATCAAGTATTAACTGTTTATATTCATCTTGTTGATCATTGTTTCATGTTGAATAAAACTCAAGAAGTTTTATATTATAAAATAAAAATATGTAAACTATTATTAAAATGTAATTGTTTACAACGAGTATTAATTGAAATTGCAAATGGACGAAAATTAGCCAATGAACATGTTTATTATTATCTCTATTTTGATTTATTAGAAACAACAATTTTATATCGAACACGTTGTATTGCTAATGCAAGAAAATTAATTGATAATGGTTTAAATAGTTTAAATCAACTTCATAAAGAAGTTGAAGAAAAATTACAAAAAGAACAAGAAAAAAAGAGAAGAAAATTATTTATACAACCAAATCAAACAGATACGATTGCTTTTAATTTATTATCACGTAAAATATCATTAGCAAAAGCTGACCGACAATCGCTGGATTTAGATGAACAAAGTCGACGATTCAAACATCAATTACTCCCGATAATATAATTAATTTCATTTTATAGAGTAAAAAAAATAATTTTGTTGTTTTTTTCTATATTTTGTCTAGAAACGTTCTTCGATTGTTCAGTTACTGGCCAATCATGAATCTATATATAATGCTTATTCATTTGAATATTTAAAATGTCAATTTTATGTATTACAATATACAATTGGAAAAAGAATAGATAATCAAACACTTATCGATGAATCAATTCGAACAATTTTAAAATATCCCTATTATAAATATCCATTTTCATTTTCTTGTTCATGTACAATTTTATTAATTAATTATTACTATGAACATTATGAATATCAAATATGTTTAAATTTAATTGATCAATTTATAAAATATTAGTGGTTAATTAGTCGATCAAGTGAAAAATTAGAATTTGCTAAATTAATCACACTATCATTAATAATTCAATTAAATCAAAATAACGTTGGACGTTCGATTCATTGTGGTTATTTTTCTAAATAAGTATTAAGTGGTTTTCATGAAAACATATTTTTTGTTGAAACATTAATTCAATTAACCTATTCACTTTTGTATAAAATGCGCTTAAGCATCATCCACGTATTGTGTAATTACTTTAGAAGAGAGAGAAAGAGATTAGAAAAGACTATCGTGGAGGGGATTTATTCTGTTCTGTTAATGAGTAAAGTGTCATGAAAGGTGATTGCTGGTTTTTTCTTGTTGATAAATGCTGAGTCGATCAGAAATTTAATTGTTTCAAACATGAAGTCCGAGACAAATGAAGAAACTTTGTACAATCAGTTTATTAACGCTTATGTTACTTTTAAATCAACTTTTCAATCAAAATAAGTATTGGTTCTCTAAATACTAAACACATTTTTACGAATAAAATTGTTTTTCTTTCTACATTCAACTTGGGTTTCAAGATTAGATAAAGTGGAAAATCTATTTCTTTTCTGTTGATCAAAATTTTATTGAACAGAAAATTGAGCAAACATTTCCTTTCATTATCTGATTTTGAATTACTGAAAATAAAATGTCAACCAACAATTTAAAATATTCCATTTGATTACCAAAAACAAAAAATTTGCATTTTTCGAGCTATAAAAAAAACTATCGCATTAGAAGACTTCTAAAACATTATGTAATCAACAGCGGAGAGGGAGGGGGGAAGGTATTCATAAGATTACGAAAGATTATCAAAGGAGAGAGGGAATCAAAAAGCGGGAAAATAATTATTATGTAACACTTGAATGGATCCTTATCAAATATTGAAATTATTCTGAATCATCTTGAATATATTAGTGATCAAACATCTAATTATTATACAAAATTATGGTATTATATACTTGTTATTGATGTAGCTGTTGAATTTAAATATGAACTTCTACCAATTAATTTAAAATTTTTAAATTTATTATCAAATTATCGAAAAAAATGATCAGACAATAGTAAACAATTATTCTATGTTGATTGTTCACTAGCTCAAATATATTCAAGAATAAAAGAATTTAAATTATCTACAAAATATTTTAATAATGCATTAACTATGTTCTCATATACAAAATTATCAATGAATGAGTTTAGTGTTCAACGAGCTCTTTTCAAATTAGCTGAAGTACAATTGTTAAACTGGTGGTATCAAGTTAAATATAAACACTATACAGACATTGTGTCGGTGACAAAAGAACGTTTTCTCTATAAGTACATTAAAAATTTATTACCAAAAGAATCAAAATTATTATTATCAAGATATTATATTTATGATGCCTATTATTCTCGATTAGTAGAAACATATCAACAATCTTTGTTAACATCATTACCAACTAATAAACAAAATTATACATGGATAATGAGTATACAACAAGCAAAAGATTATGCTGAAAAATATTTAATTAAACTGGATTGTGAATGGATTAATCAATTGAATACACAATGGTCGAATAAAGTATCAGAAACAAAATCAATACCAAAAATAAATTTGCTTCATTTGATGTTAATACACCTTCTATGATAACAAAATATTTGTCTAGAAAATCAATACCATCTGAAAATCAGTTGAATGTACCAAAATACATTGATAAAATAATGTTTTATAATGATGATGCAGGGAAGCAAAAGTTTATCGATCAGCGTCTTTATAATTCAAAAAACAGTGGTCAATTTCTTCTTTATATGTTACCGGTGATTGTATAACGTTTATTTTGTATGTTATTTGTTTTTCCAAAAGTATTCCGGTTCATGTTGTTGTTGTTGTTTTTTCTATCTATTTGTTACTATTTCCTGTACGAGAGACAACTCGAGCATATTTTTAATCAAAATATTTTTTGCCACACAATCCAGCAATAATGGATGAATTGAAAAGATGAATAATATTTATAGATACTCTCAAACCATTTCAAAATAATATTGTTTACAACATTTTTAGTATATACTACGAAAAAATTAACTAGGGTTACACAAAGTCACATAAGCGTAAATAGATAACTGTCGTAGGAAAATGTTTTAAATAAATAGATATGATAGTTTTTTCTATCAATTTTCAATTGATCCGAGTTTAGGTACACTTCTTGTTACAAGCTGATTGAATAGAGATAAAAGGCGGATCTGGAGGCAAGATATGTTGAATAATGAAGCTCATACATCATGTATCAAGAACACGACAGAGCCCGATATATTTTCAGCAATTTTCAGACCACGTTGGATCCGCCACGCACATATTCAAGAGATATAGAGCAGATTTAAGCCCCAATTGTGGACTTTTAAAGTCTATGAAAGTCCAATTAAGTCTCTACAAGCCTAGGGACTGACAGAGACTTTTATGGACGCCAGTACTTACATGGACATTTTGCAGCGCTTGAAGACATTAACAGATTTGTAAGTTCACTGGACTTTGGACTCGAATAGACTTTAAACGTTCATCTTAATCCTGGTACATCGGCGTAATTCCATTAAATCCGTAAAAGTCCAAAGTCTGCTTCTCTTCCTTGTACGTACCGCATGTGTATTAGTCTGTCCAAACATATTTTCTGGTAAAAAATACCACTTTTTGCCTATGTTTTTCATATGGCCTTCACAGCACTTGTTGAAAACGTGGTTTTGAACGCGAAAACGTTGCTTCAATAAAAAGAGAAGACTTAGGGGTACCAGACCATGTACGTATCTCACTGATGGGTTTAAAACTACCTGAGTTATAACTAGTTGGGGTTGAAATTAGTTATAACTAATTTAACTTTTAGTCAAAAATTTACAATAGTACTAACTATGAATCACAGTTCTAACTATCAACTCGAGTTGATTGATATACCTGCAGTTGAGAGAGTTATAACTATTTCAACTCTACTTTAACTTTACTTATAACAGTGCCATAATACAAACCGAAATGAGCTTTCATAATTTATTTTGGGTTAGTAGTCATTACTAAAACTGATGCAGTTATAACTACAGTTGGAATGGTTATCATTCTACCCATTTGGAGTTGTAACCCGTTCAATCGCAGTTGCATCGATCACCCTGAGTTGATAGTTATAACTGCGGTTCACAGTTATAACTAGAGTTTTAACTGTATCGACTTTTAGCTTTCAAAAAACAGTTTTAAATCCATCAGTGACGTATCTGGAAAAATAAATATTTTTGAAAATGATTTTTGTTAAATGCAGAAAGATACGTAGCGTTGTTTTTCCGTGATTTCCTGAAGAATGTACAAGAATGCCCATAATTTTAGATAATTCTATTTTTCTCTGCAGTGAAGGATCTTTCATCAAAACAAATATGATATCCGTAGTCAGGTTATCGAACTGTGTTCATATATAACTGAAGATTTTTTTCTTGAAAAATAGATCAATAATTTGTTTAACGTCCCCCAAGGTAAAAACTATCAAATAATGAACTCTTCCAAAACAATTTCTTTTTTACCTTTAAACATCATCTGCATGATTCATTGCGATACTAAGATCAAACTAATGGCATACTAATAGAAATGAACATGTCCATTTGACAAGCGTAATTTCTTACTGAGAGATGGAGAAACATCGATTTTTTATTACGTAAACAGTTTTTAAACTTCAAAAAATATTTTCCTTCGGAACGGAGTGAAGAGCTTTTCAGAAATTAAAACTTGAAATTCTTTAGAGATGATTTTCAATAGTTCCGTTAGGCATTTGTAATCTGCCCTTGAGGTATACATCTTTAGATACATTTTACAAAGAAGAGTTAGAACTGAACCATTCCCTTTACTTACAGAGTAGTTATATTATTAAGTTAAACAGCAACAACAAAAAAAGAAGAGGAATAGAACAGGAAAAAGAATGTTTGAAACTTAAAACAATATATCACACCGATAAACTATTTGGAAAAG